AAGACAAGGAGGTAGACTCTAGGGCCTCCAGAAGGAATCAGCTCTGCCCACTAATTTTGGATTTATATTCTCCAGAACCATAAGGTAACAAACGTGTATTGCTTTAAGCCACGAAATGTGATAATTTGTCACAGTAGTAACAGGAAACTCATACCCCAGCACTGTTAATACATTTTGCCCTGAAAAGTAGCTGTGTATAAAATCCCAGGATATCTGACAGTTTGAACTAGGAACCTACGTTTGTCCATGAGAAAGGCAAAGTAGAGTGGGACACTGCCCTAGGGTTCATGGGCACAGGATGCTACTTAGGAGCCACTTGGGCAAAACAGCACAAGGTTGAGAGGAAAGGGAGCCAGGAACAGAGCTACCCCAGTGGGGTCAATTCATTGCAGGTGGTGTAAAAAGAGCGATGCTCTTTACTGCTTCTTCTGGAACTGGGGGACCAGAAATCTGGGAGAGACATAATTTTATTTCATTTATATTTAGTTATTTCCTTTTCAGCTTTTTTTCAGCTTTCCTGTTAATCTTTGGTTCTTTTTTAAAATTACAAACCCAGCTCAGCTTATGCAAGTTAAAGGGCTTCTAGATATAAATGAAAATAACTACATATCTGATCAGGTAAGGCCTGCTAGTGAAGAATGAACTGGAAAGGAAAAAAACTTTTAAAAGGTCAGCATAAGGACAACCGCAAAAATTTTGACAAAAAGTAATGATCCATCAAGTATGTAATCTGTAAAATGGGGATAATAATAAACCTTCAAAGACAATCGTACAGTAAAATGAGAGAAGGCACACAAGTACATAGTAAACAGAAAATCCAGACTTCAGATTGTTGTGTGACCCTTTCAGGCTGCCACAGTCTCCAAGGTGGTGCTTCAGTGGAAATGTTTAAACGACTCCCTTCATCTGCAATATGGTATGTCACAAGGGCTACTAGCCCTTAAAGGACTGCTTCCATTTTATTCCCAACAATTCTACCTACAAACTGTTCAACTCCATGCAAATGGATTAAGAGCACAAAATCTGATCAGACTCACAGAAATTGGTATCACAGGTCCACCACTTAATCTGTGTTACCCAGGCAATACTTGAGGTGTCACACCAACAGATGTGTGAAGTTAAAATGCTCAACAATAAAGATATTTTAACAATAATTTGACAGGACCCTCAAGAAATTCAACTCCTCCATAAAGCCCTCTTTGACTCCCCTGGATTTTCTGATCACTTACTGTAATGATGGGACAGGGGGTGTCTCTCCTTCTTCTGAAATCTTGCAGCATCTCTTACCCCATAGTTTCACCACCTCGTTTGGTTGAATATCATAGCAGCAGTCAGATCGGATGGAAACTATTTCCTTTGCTGTCTCCCTGAGCAGACTAAAAATTACTCTAATTCAGCAATTCCATCGCCTAATATAGTGCCTAGCAAAATCAATCCAGATAAACAGGCTCAAATTATCATGATAATCTTCATAATTTGTACTTTTTTACTTGGTTACTGCCTATCTCCCCGCACAAGAAAACAAGCTCCTTGTGGATGAAGAACATGTCTGTCTTGCTCACCTGTGTACCCCCAGACCCTAGCATAGCGCCTGCCACATATGAATGGCTAAAGGCCTGAAAGCCAGAGGGGAAGAAAAACCAACTGCCTGCAACAGACCTAAAGGGAAGGAAGACTGGTAGTACTGTATTTCCTGCCTTAACCCTTTCCATAAAATCATAAAATCTGAAAGCTTGAAGGAACTTTGCGGTTCACCTTTCCACTTTTTGGGTTCCAAGCATAATGTCAACCACCACCATCCACTGATGAATCTCATCAGCTGTGAAGGGGAATAATGGTCACGATATAAAAAATGTAAGGTAGTAAAATATTTGTTTGCTCAACTTTTTTTTGTATGTATATGTAATGTATTACCTGTAATATTTTTAATCTGCATAGTACTTTATAATCTAAAATTCCACATCTTTATTGAAGAATTAAAACTGTGCTCATGAGGTAACACACAGGAGACACTTAGAACAGGGTCTGGCACCTGGCAAGCAAAAGTGTCCACCTTATCCTCATCATTAGCAAATCGCAATGTGTATAACCATGAAGAAACTCAGGCGTCCTTTTTCTACTCAAGGACCTTCCAACAGTCTTAATCCATTCTTTCTCCAAGAACAATTCATAGCTTACAAAGAAATAGCTACCAAAGGACTTTCTCCTCATCTAACCTCTAATTTCCATAATGGCAAGAAAAGGAAAGAAGGTCCTTTCCTTTCCTTTTCACTTTATTATCATCATGCAGACTTTCTACAAAAAAAAAAAAAAGAGAGAGAGAAAGAACGAGGCAGCAGGCCTGAAAAAAAAAAAAAAAGATAACCGCCAAGGAAAAACCTAGTAGGGCTAAGGTGGAGCCAGGGCATTAGGTGATTCTCAAATGGACATGATCAATATAGTGGGAGTGGAGTATCTAGAAAGATCCCCCAACTTCAGTACCAGTCTGGATTAGATTCTCTGAATTTGAAATCAGTAGATGGCTTGCATTGCAGTTATGTTTTTAAAAGATAAGTGTTATATGAGATTATGTGTTATAAAAGTGTGACAAAAATTTGTAACTTCCAACACATATATATATAACGTGATATAATAAAAAATTTATTTAGAATGGAGAACATGAAAGCTTTAAAATAAGGTCTTTGCTGAAATACTGTCTTCTCAGACCCCTTGATCCTTGATTTAAGGCCAGTAGGCCTATTAAAGGTAACTTGGAAAATATTTAAGAATCAAGAAACTACATGCAAACAGGTAAGGGATACATGGACATTTAGCTTCATCCTTACCACTCAGTTAAAATCTGCTATTCAGCTTCAGTGTGGTCCTTGGCCTTTGGAAGGCAAAGGAGCTGAAGCCTAACTCCGGATCATTTCTGGCATCAGTGAACCTGTCCATGATCAATGACCTTATGACTGAGTATCTTGTGATCATAACTAAATTATGTCACTAATAGTGTGTCATTTGAATTCAATGCAAACATCTGCATATTCACCTGAAATATAGATTAGCATTCTAGATGTGATCTGGATGAAAATCTCAATGTGTTTTACATGTTGAAATTACAAAAGCCAAGAAAAGGTAAGTGTCTATCTAATACTGCAATAATAGAATAATATATGGTGATTTTGGATGTAGTTCATTCTATATCCAAAAATAATAAAAAACTTCCAAATAATCAAGTACATGGAAAAATAAGTTGGAATTTATAAAAGTATCAAAAGAATGTACATTCGCCAGCTGTTTCTAAACACCTAAATAGTAATATAAGACAAAAACTAGGGATTATGAAATAATTCTAATATTTATATAACTAATATATAACTATTAATAACAATAAACAAAATAAGAACTGTGTTTAATTTTTAAGTGATTACACTTAAACCTGAGACTTTCAAGAAAACCCATTTGGGAATTTTCACATCCTGTGAGAAAAGATTAAAAGCAGAATTTCAACTTCTGCTTTGAAAGAATGTTGACTTTGACATTTACCTATTTGGCAAAAACATCTATTCAGTTCATCTCGAATTCAGATAAAGGGTTTACTCCTGGTTTTCAACTTTGAGCATTCTTCCAAACTCCCATTTGAAAAAGTAAATATGGGGTTTGCTTCTTCCAGTCTTATCCTAGGAGATACTTATAGGTCATGCTGTCAAGGAAGCCCCAAAGCACCTGTCCACCGTGCTGCTCTTCGGGTGAGGGGGTGGAGATTTATACCCATACGAAAGGCATCCTAGTGTCTCTGGGTGCATTCTGTGAAACCTCTTGCTAGCATACCTTTCCGAAACAAGCCTGCCTTGCCCAAACCTCTATTTTTCAAAATCTCTGTTGAGGGGGAGAGCACCGGGCGGGGGGGGGGGGTACCTGGCAGGGACAGATCTGAAAAGAGCATGAGCTTTGGACCCAGAAGCCATGGATTTGAAGCCTAACTTATTAACTCAGCAGGAAATTTAACCTTGCAGTACTTCTGTTTTTTCATCTCTTACATGAGGATTACTGTTCTCAAGGGAGTTGTGCTGGTGATGTTACTAAAGTAGGTCAAGTTCCAAGTACTGGCCTTGGCCCAAAGTATCTGCTCAATAAACGGTAGCTGTCATTACCCTGAGCACTTTACCAGTGCCTTCGTGGTTCCAAATTTTACATATCCTGTGACAGAGCCATAACACAGGTCTCATCAACTCCAAAGGTCTGGAATTTTCCAGTTATCTCTCCTCCTAGGCCTTTGCTTTCAACATCCAACATTTCCAAGCCGTTCCCGTATGTACACTGCAATGTGCCTGCCTTGCTCACTTGCCTCTAAATTTCTGGAAGGAGAGATCTAGTCAGAGAAAATCCTAAAGCAGCGAAAAAAGATCAGAGATTCTAAGATTATCTAGTTGGCACCTCCCAGGATCCACAAAACACATTTTGGAAGGAGGGAAAGTTCCGCTTGTCTGAATGAGATTCTAAGGCCTGTGTTGAAGTGCGCCCTGGGCGCCGCCTCCCAATCCCTATAGGGAGAGTGAGGCGGTTCTGGCCACATTTCCTCATCCTAAAGGAAGAAAAGCGGCGGCGGGGCTGCGTGCGCGCCTATGAAGACACCCGCCCACGCGCGGCTCCGCCAACGCCGGGACGCAGCTCACTCCCTGAACCGAGGAAGAGGGAGGCTCCATCCGGACTCACTTCCTGCACGGGAAAGGAAAGACATCTTTGCCGCAAGGCGGCCGGCGGCAGTTCCGCCCCGGGACCGGCCGGCAGCGGAGCGCGCCCCGCAGGCACTTACGTGGCGCAGCCGGCTCGGGAGGCGCGGGCAGGCGAAGGCCGCCCCGCCAGCCCCGGCCTGCCCGCCGGACTCCGGCCGACCCCGGCTAAGGGCGACGGCAGCGACGCCCGCGGAGCCCCCGGCCCCGGCGGAGGGGCGACCCCGGGAGGCGCACAGAGCGCGGCAGGAGCAGGGGCGCGCAGGCTGCCCTCGGGTCACCCACCTTTCTCACTCTGCGGGCCGTGTAGAGCCCCATCCCGTCCTGAACCCGGGAGGACTTCAGGGAGAACCTGTCCGGCACGTACATGCCCAGCATTTTCCCGGCCGCGGCCGCCGCCGCCTCGCTCAGCACCAGCGCTCTGCGCCCGGGCGGCGACACATCGAAATTTGGGGTGCTGGGGTGGAGGGGAGAGGCCGGCGGGGAAGGAGGAAATGGAGTTTTCCTCCCAGAATCCCCACCTCTCCGCCGATTCCAGGATCCCCCGCGGCTCAGCCCCTCCTAGTCCCGGGTCTGGCTCAGCCCGGAGCCGCCGCGGCCGCCGCTGCCATTGCTGCCGCGGGGGCGCGGGGGGCGCGGGCCGGGGCGCTGCGGTCTCAGAGACGCCGCGCGCTGATTGGCCCGAAGTTGGCGGCTCGACCCGCGCCGGGTACGGCGCCGGGAGCGGAGCTGACCTCGGGGCCTTAAGCCCAGAGACCGGCGAGAGGAGAGTACCCGTCTGCTCACCGCGCCGGGCGCTACAGCTTACGGACCCGCCCTTGTCCAGGTCTGGGTTTTGCCCCGCTGAGCTAGTAGTATTCCTAGTAGGGGAATTTTACTGTTTTTAGATGCAAAACGAAATGGGCCATGACATAGCTGGGGGTATCCTCCCAAACAATTTTATGGAATTCCAGACTCTGAAAGGATGCTTATTGCCCGGCTACTGAAAGCCAACCCTAAGGACTAGGAACTTTGGGTGCTTCTCACATCTAAGTTATGCGTCTCTTTTTTTTTTTTAATACTTGTTTCAGGGATTTGAATTCATAGGGGATCAGTAAGTATGGTGATTAACGTACACGGAAAGGGGGTGTACACAGTCTGCAACTAATCGATTTCAAGTTAATTCAAAATTTGTCGCGAACAATTTAATATTTAAATCCAGCGGAAACTAGTTCTTGTATGGTGCTGTAACCCAGGGGAAGTTCTTACACTTCCCAAGATACACCATTCCTGAGTCCTCTCTTGCTTGTAAATCACCAGACCTGTCAGATCTTCAGACATAAGCAGGAGAGGTGGGGGAGATGGGAGGGAACGCCCAAACAGTAGAATCCTGTATCACAGCAATGAAACAACAGAAGCCTTGTTCTAGTGGTTTTAATAACGTTTGGTACTTCTCAGGAGAAATTTTAAAAGGCTATTTTCTCCTTTAAGACAAGCTAGGAGGTTTGTATTCATTTCTCTTGATATTCTTGATAATTTTCTATTCTGAGGTCTTTTGGAATTCATTTAGTGTTCCTAAACATATTTGATGTTGCTTATAAACCATTAAAAATAACATTAAAGAGCACACTGTTAAAAAATAAAATTCAACTAAATAAATTTTAAAGATTTTATTGGCTGCATTCAACAATCCATGAATGGGGCAGCATGCAATCTGGCAAACAAAAGAGCTTTGAGGAGCTGTACTAAATGAAAGACTTTTACAGGCAGAAGAAAGCAGGAACAAGGAAATTATACTAAACAAAAAAGCAGATTGGCTGTTGCAAGGTTACTTTCTTTTAGGTGATGGCAGGTACCGATCTGGCAGATTACCTATCTAGTATTCATCAGGCAACTCCCCACTGACTGGTTGAAAATTACATTTACACAAAAACCAGAAGTAATTAGTTTGAATCTCAGTTTGATAACATGGAGCTTAGCATAAGTGACTCCATTTTGAGCCTGTTGTCTTGTTTTTAGCAACACACATCATGGAAATGATTTCTATTTCTTGATTAAGAAAAGCCTTGGAATGAAAATAGTTCCTCATTTCTTAAGTGGAAGCCTTTTATTAAAATCATATAATACTATTTGCAGATTTTAAAGAACAGAATAAATGATTCTCTTTTTTGGAAAAATGTAAGAATAGCTTTGTCAGGGGTGAGAAGAAGGATGTCTTAATTATTCTCTGAGTTTCCATCCCTTTGACCCACCATTGAAGATACTATCTAATCTTTAGAGGGGAAATGAATCAATAAATAAATACAGTTTGGGGCACCTGGGTGGCTCAATCAGTTAAGCTTCGGACTCTTGGTTTCAGCTCAGGTCATGATCTCAGGCTCTTGAGATCAAGCCTGGCATTAGGCTCCTCACTTAGCACACTCAGCGTGGAGTCTGCTTGTCTCTCTGCTCCTCCCCTGCATTCGTGCATGTACACAGGCTTTCTGTCTCCGTTCTAAAATAAATAAATACAATCATTTAAATAAATCAATCAATAGTTTATTTGAATGGAATTTGAAATTAAATGGCCTTGAAACACATAACAGGTGTTCAATAAATATTTCTTGTTTAAAAGTCAATTCTGGGAGCACCTGGGTGGCTCAGATGGTTAGGCGTCTGCCTTCGGCTCAGGTCATGATCCCACGGTCCTCAGATGGAGGCCCGCATCAGGCTCCCTGCTCAGGAGGGAGCCTGCTTCTCCCTTTCCTTCTCCTGCTCCCCCTGCTTGTGCTCTCTCACTCTCTCTGTCAAATAAGTAAATAAAATCTTTAAAAGTCAATTCTGAGGCTAATCAGGTTTTCAAACTAGTGAATGAATGATATGCCTAGATTTCACTTGTGCCCCAAAGAATCTGGACTAAATCAGTTTTCCTGGGGTCCTTTAAACCAGTGCTACACCCAGGCCACACCAGGTCCCCTGAGCCCAGCTGGAACCAGATCACAATGCAGAGGGTGGCCATGGCATTTTCCCCAGAGCACTCAGTCCTTTTTCAGACACAAGCCTTTCAGTTCTGGCCCCTCAGCCATACTGGCTTTTCAGTCAAATGCTCTGCCATATCTCTGGGCACAGAAGTTTCCACAGCTTTTGGTCATTAGAGAGAAAAAGAAATGTTTTCTGGTCTTGGTCTGACACAACCCTCATTCACTGATGACCCTTGTTTGGCATATCTCCCTTTTTGTTGTGTGTTATGTTTCGGGGAGCAAAGTTGTCAGCTTGAGAATGCTCATTTTTCTGAATGTATGTATCTTTATTAATCAATAAATAGTAAAAAATAAATGTGTGTAAAGATAAGTCTGGAAGTAATAAAATGAGAAACTTTCCAGATCTTTTATGAATCTCTGTCAGAGATTTTGTTATAACTGGCACAAACAGTAGATTTCATCAAAGACTACAGTGTTCTTTTTACCTATATGATGGAGTGTTCAGAAGATCTGCCTAAAAGATGGAAATCAGTAATAAAAAGCTCTTAATAATAATCTCTATTACAACACATAAAAAAGGATACATGTTTGCCAAATCAAAATGCATAATACTGACCGGAAATTTGATTTTGAAGCCTGTAAAGACAGTAGTTGTACCATGAGTCACTTCTTAGAACTTTAAAAGCTAGAAAGTGACCTTTCAATATTATCTTTAGAAAAACGGGAAATTAAATGTCTGCTTTATATCATGAGTTTAAATCCAGTCTTTAAAAAATAAGTAAGAAAACCAAAATGTTGACGTCTGAGTACTACCATGCACCTGATTTACTTATTCTAGAAAATTCTGATGCAAGATAAATGACTCTAAAAACATGTCTCCTTATTTTCAAATTTGCTTCTGGAGGAAATTTTTTTCATTGATATGCCTAAAGCAAACTCTACTTATTGAATTCAAACTTGTGTGCTGGTGCAGGCCTTGTTTTTCATTAGAAGGAAAGACTTGAATGATGATTCTATATTGATTATTTTACCAGAATTCTTTTGATTGTGTCTTGGTTATTACTGATTGTTTCCAGCTGCTATGATAGAATAAAAACCTAATAGAAAAAAAACAAAACAAAACAAAACACTGAGGGTTATTTGTGTTTAGTTTCCTGAGAGTCAGAAGGATTTTGTAGTGAATGAATATGAAACCAAGTTTCCTGAGAAGAAAAGAATAAAGATTTATTTAGTGTGACTCAAAAAAAAAAAAATTCTGAAAATAAAATCCATAGTGGGGTTGTTGGCTTCTTGCTCTAAAATCATTTCTCCTTAGCACTGATTCTACAATAGCAACAGCACCATGAAAAGATGACCCTGAAACCTGAAAAAGTCTGCATATTTATTTTTCCTTAATCTCTTGGTTTTAAGTGATGATACCAAAGACTTATATGTGGTACCAGAACATAATCATTAAATCCTTTAATTAGAAAATACCTAGGGGCACCTGGCTGTCTCACTCCATAGAGCACACAACTGTTAATCTCATGGTCATGAGTTTGAGCCCCACATAGATGTAGAGATTACAAAAAACAAACAAATAACAAACAACAACAACAACAAAAACATGAAAAATCCTAGAAGTTATTAGGACTAGAGTGAGTAATGTTGTAAAAAGAAAAGCCAAAGGGAAGGGAAAAATGAAGGGGGGAAATTAGAGGGGGAGGCGAACCAGGAGAAACTATGGACTCTGAGAAACAAACTGAGGGTTCGGGGGGGGTGGGGCCTGGTGATGGGTATTAAAAATGTCATGTTCTGCATGGAGCACTGGGTGTTATATGCAAACAATGAATCATGGAACACTACATCATAAACTAATGATGTAATGTATGGTGATTAACATAACATAATAATAATTAAAAAAAATGATGCCTTGGGCCCTGGGGAAAAAAAGAAAAGCCAAAGGATAAATCAGTGGTCATGGCTCCAAAAGTCAATGCTGTTCATGGAGCGGCATGTGGAAGCTGAAGGAAACTAACAGAAGGAAACCAAGGATAATAGTTTCCACTCACTGAGCCTAGTATATACCAGAAACCAGACTAGGTTCTTGGTATCCATTATCTTAAAACCCTAACAGCCCTACCATAACAGTCTGGTAAAGTAAATTTTATTTGCCCCCTTTTACACACCAGGAAACTGAATCCCAGAGAAGTGATCAATCATAAGTCAATTTGACACATCTATGAAGTGGTGGAGGTAATTCAAACTCAGGACTGATGACTCCTATGTCCTTGATTCTGTCTCCTGCTCATTCTGGTCTGGTTCACTTTCCAGTTACACTTCCCATGAGGCTTTAGGAGAGGAGGAACTCTCCACTTATCTCTCTCTCTCTCCCTCTCTCAACTCATCTCCCAATGCCCCCTCCAACTCCTCCTCTAGAACTGGGCAGAAAATTTGATTGGCCAAAGTCCATAAAATACTTACTCTGTTGTCAGATGCTCCAGTTGGGTTCAATCAACTGTATTAAAGAGAAGATCAAGTCCAAGGACATTTCCTCTGCAGAGAGTGACTGTAAGATA